CTGGGTCTCCTTCCCCCATTTCCCCCCTCATTTTCCCCACATTTTCCCCACAATTTTCCCATATTTCCCCCATTCCCCCCCCATTTCCCCCCCTATTTTTCCCCCCATTTTTCCCAATATTTTCCCCCATTTCCCCCCTCATTTTCCCCAGATTTTCCCCACATTTTTCCCAATATTTTCTCCCATTTTCCCCAGACTTTCCCCACATTTCCTCCCCATTTTCCCCAATATTTTCCCCCATTTCCCCCCTCATTCCCCCCCATTTTCCCTGGATTTTCCCCACAATTTTCCCGGATTTTCCCCCCTTTTTCCCCCATTTCTCCCCATTCCTGCCGGGCTGGGGCCGCTCTCCCGGGGATTCCAGCCCCAAAACCCCTGTGGGATTTCCCGGCCGAGCGGGACAATCCCGGGAGGAGTGGCCGCCCTAATTCCCCAATTGTTGGGAAGATGGATAAACCGCGATTTACATGGCTGAGGAAAAAAGGGGAAAAATGCGGATTAAAGAGATCAGAGAGGGGGAAAATTCCATTTTCCCTTTTTTTTTCACCTGTCACAGCAGCTCGCGGGGCCCTGGGGGATTTGGGATGTCTTCATTTGCTCAGATATTCCAGTGGGATTTCTGAGGGGGGAAATCTGGGAAAAATGGGGGGAAATCTGTGGGAAATGGAGGAGGAAAATGGGGGGAAATCTGGGAAAATGGGGGGGAAATGAGGAGGGAATCTGGGAGAAAGTGGGGGGGAAATAGGGGGGAAAATAGGGGAAAATCTGGGGAAAATGAGGGGAAAGTGGGGAGAAATCTGGGAAAATGGGAGGAAAATCTGGGAAAATGGGGGCGGGGAATGAGGAGGGAATCTGGGAGAAAATGGGGGGAAAATGTGGGGAAATAGGAGAAAATCCGGGAATATATGAGGCGAAAGTGGGGGGAAATGGAGGAAGAAAATGGGGAAGAAAATCTGGGAAAATGGGGGAAATGAGACGGAATCTGGGAAAAATAGGGGGGAAATGTGGGGAAAATGTGTGGGGAAATAGTGGGGAAATAGGAGAAAATCCGGGAATATGTGAGGTGAAAGTGGGGGAAAATGGAGGAAGAAAATGGGGAAGAAAATCTGGGAAAATGGGGGGAAATGAGACGGAATCTGGGAAAAATAGGGGGAAAATGTGGGGGAAAATGTGTGGGGAAAATGTGTGGGGAAATGGGAAAAAATGAGGAAAAATGTGGCAAAAATGGGGAGGGGAATGTGGGGGAAATGTGTGAAAAATGTGGAGGGAGACGGGAGGAAGTGTGGGGAAAGTGGAGGGGAATCTGGGAAAAATAGGGGGGAAATGTGGAAAAATTGGGGAAAATGCAGGGAAAATTGTGGGAAATGGGGAGGGGAATGTGGAAAATTGTGGGGGAAATGTGGCAAAAAATGAGGGAGGAAATGTGGGGGAAATCCTGGAAAAATAGGGAAGAAATGCAGAAAAATGTGGGGGGAAATCTGAGAAAAATAGGGGAGAAATGTGGGAAAATGTGGAAAAATTAGGGAAAAACTGGGGGGAAATGTGGGAAAATGGGGGGATGGGGGGAAATGGGGGGAAAATGTGGGGAAGAAGTGGGGAAAACAGGAGGAAATCAAGGAAACGTGGGGGGAAATCCAGAAAAATGGGGGGGAATGTGGGGAAAATGTGCAGAAAATCCCAGAAAAATGGGGAAAATATGGGGGGAAACGAGGGGAAATGGGGCAAAAACGCAGAAAAAGGGGAAAACATTGCTTTCCCCCCCTCTGTCCCTAAAATTTCCCCCAATCTTCCCGTTTTGGGGCCACTTCGGGGCCTCCTGGGCTGGTTTTGAGGTCGATTTCCCATCCCGCCTGCAGAGGGATCCCCGGAAACCCCACGGAGCGATTTGTTAAATAAATATTAGGGAAAAACCCTCGGAATGAGCAAATGCGGGAGCGGATGAAAGGATCCCAAAGCTTCAGAGGCTTGGGAAAGATCAGGGAAAAGAGGAATAAATATTCAAAAGTGGAATTTCAAAGCTGCGTTCCCGGCCTTTCATCCCGGCCTCCCGCGGGAAGCGGCGGCGCCGGGAGATCCGGGGGGAATTCGGGGGAAAGATGGAGCGGAAAATGCCTGAAAAATCCCAAAAACTGCGGGAAAGCAACCCCAAAGCGGGATGGGACGGGGAGGGATCGGGGTGCCCCTGGAATTTATCCAGGTGGGGTTTGGGGTCACCTGGAATTTATCCATGTGGGCTTTGGGATCACCAGGAATTTTTCTAGGTGGGTTTTGGGATCACCAAGAATTTATCCAGGTGAGGGTTGGGGTCACCTGGAATTTATCCATATGGGATTTGGGATCACCAGGAATTTTTCCAGGTGGGTTTTGGGGTCACCTGGAATTTATCCATATGGGATTTGGGATCACCAGGAATTTTTCCAGGTGGGTTTTGGGGAGGGTTGGGGTTACCTGGAATTCCCCAGTGTGGATTTGGGGATCACCCCTGGAATTCCCTCGTGTGGATTTTGGGATTCCCGAGGTGTCCCTGGAATTCATCTATACAGATTTTGGGATCACTTGGAATTGCCCCGTGTGGATTTTGGGATCCCCTGGAGTTCCTCCATGTGGATTTTGGGATCACCTGGGTGGATTTGGGGATCTCCGGGGTGTCCCTGGAATTCCCTGTGTGGATTTTGGGATCCCCTGAAATTCTCCTGTGTGGATTTTGGGATCACCTGGAATTCCCTCGTGTGGATTTTAGGATCCCCAGGAGTTTCTCCATGTGGATTTTGGGATCACCTAGGTGGGTTTTGGGATCTCCGGGGTGTCCCTGGAATTCCCTGTGTGGATTTTGGGATCACCCCTGGAATTGCCCAATGTGGGTGTTGGGATCCCCTGAAATTCTCCTGTGTGGATTTTGGGATCACCTGGGTCTCCCCAGAATTAATCCATGTGGATTTTGGGATCAGCCCTGGAATTCCCCAGTGTGGATTTAGGGATCACCCCTGGAATTGCCCCTTGTGGATTTTGGGGTCCCCAGGAGTTCCCCCGTGTGGATTTTGGGATCATCCCCGGAATTGCCCAATGTGGATGTTGGGGTCACCCCTGGAATTCCCCGTGTGAATTTGGGATCCCCAGGGTGTCCCTGGAATTCATCCATGTGGATTTAGGAATCACCCCTGGAATTCCCCGTGCGGATTCGGGATTCCCGGCGGTGTTTTTCGGGACTCCCGGCGGTTCGGGATCCCCGCGGGCTTTGGGTCGGAGCCGCCCCGGGGTTGCCAAGGGCCGGATCTGCTCCGTTGTGGCAACGGCGCCGGGAGCGCCCGAGCCCCGGGAACGGCGGCGGCTGATCCGGGAAACATCCGGGAAACATCCCGGGAACGGCTCCTGATCCGGGAAACATCCCGGGAACGGCGGCGGCTGATCCGGGAAACATCCGGGAAACATCCCGGGAACGGCTCCTGATCCGGGAAACATCCCGGGAACGGCGGCGGCTGATCCGGGAAACATCCGGGAAACATCCCGGGAACGGCTCCTGATCCGGGAAACATCCCGGGAACGGCGGCGGCTGATCCGGGAAACATCCGGGAAACATCCCGGGAACGGCTCCTGATCCGGGAAACATCCCGGGAACGGCGGCGGCTGATCCGGGAACATCCCGGGAACGGCTCCTGATCCTGCGGGACATCCCGGGAACGGCTCCTGATCCTGGGAAACATCCCGGGAACGGCGGCGGATCCTGCGGAAACATCCTGGGAACGGCTCCTGATCCTGAGGAAACATCCCGGGAAGAGCGGCTCCCGCTCCCGCTGCACCCCCGGCACCGCCCCGTGAGCCCCGGGATTCAGGGAATTGTTCGGGAAGGGCTCGCTCGGGATCGCGCCAGCCTGGAAACCCCCGGGACAGGGCTGGGAATGTGGATGGGAATGGGAATGGGAATGGAGATGGGAATGGGAGTGGGAATGGGTGTGGGAATGGGAATAGGAAATGGAATGGGAACAGGAATGGGAAAGGGAACAGGAACAGGAATGGGAATGGGAATGGAAAAGGGGATGGGAATGGGAAAGAGAATGTGAATGGGAATGGGTGTGGGAATGAGAATGTGGATGGGGATAGGAGTGGGAATGGGGATGGGAAGGGGAATGGGAATGGGGAATGGGAGTGGGAATAGGACACGGCGGGATCAGGAATGGGAATGGGACACACTGGGATTGGGAAAGGGGCAGGCTGGTATCAGGAATGGGATATGGCAGGAATGGGAGAGAGCAGGATCGGGAATGGGAGAACCAGGAACAGGAGTGGTTCACCCTCACCCTGATCCCCGATCCCCGATCCCCGATCCCTGTCCCCACGTGTCCCCGCTGTCCCCCGTCCCTGCCAGCCGTGCCCCCCCAGGATGTCCCTGCCAGCCCCGGGCCGGGCCCTGCCGGCGCCGGAGCCGCTCCGGAGGCACGGGAACATCCCGAGCCTGGAGCCCCTGCCTGCTCCAGCCCTCCCGGCTCTCCCTGGCCGTGCCCAGGAGCCGGTGAGTGACACGGGGGACACACGGGGAGGGCACAGCCATGTCCCCAGGGTGGCCTGGGAGGAGACAGCCCCGGGCCTGGCTGCTGCTCGTCTTGGGAGCGAAGCGATTCCTGGATTTCCCCATTCCCAGCAGATGTGGAGGGAGGATTGGAGCCTGTGGCTGCTCCTGCCTCCCTTTCCCTGTCCCCAAGGTCCCCCGGGGCTGTCACCCTGGCCAGGTCGGCAGCCGAGGCCATTCCCAAGGCCATTCCCAAGGCCATTCCCGAGGCCATTCCCAAGGCCATTCCCGAGGCCAAGGTCCTGTGGCCACCAGGATCCTTCCCGAGGGGATGCAGGATAATTCCTCAGGAATTCTTACCCCCTACCCGGCATCTACAGCCACACAAAGCCCAAAAAAATCCAGGAGAATCCATTGGGAATGTGCATCCCTCTGTGGTTCTTCACTCCATCCCTCTGTTAAAGAGCTGGAAAGCCCCAAAAAGCGCCAAGTTTGGGGGTCCCAGGTCCAACCCCACATCCCTGGGATGGATGGTGACAAGAACTGGGGACAATCTGCAGCTCTCTCAGCTCCCCCATGTTGTGTCTGACCCTCATCCCAATCCAATTCTTGGGACCGGGGTCACATCCCCTCCCTGCCCGTGGGGACATCCCTGTCTGTCCAGCGGTGCCAGGCCGTGCCTGGGCTGTGTGGCAGCGCCAGCTCTGCTCTGGTCCCCAGGGATGTGGCAGCCACCACCTGGCGCTGCAGAGGATGGCCGGGGACCTGCTGTCCCTGCGCCGCCGCGTCGCCAGCCTGGAGGCCGAGAACGCGCAGCTGCGGCACAGCCTGGCACGGCTGCGGGAGCCGGCGCAGCTCCGCGGCACCGACACGGACACGCTGACCCGGGACGAGCTGCGGGACAGGCTGGGTGCGTGCGGGCACGGGCAGGGCACTGCCAGCTGCGGGTGACAGGGACAAGGCACAGTGTCCTGGGCACGGGCAGGAAATGCTGGGCACTGCCACCGGGGGTGGGTGACAGGGACATGGTGTGTCACCCTGGGGACGGGCAGGGCACACCGGACACTGCCACCGCGGGTGGTGTCAGGGCTGTCCCGCAGCCACCCCGGTGGTGACAGCGCTGTCCCCGCAGCCACCCTGGGGACATAGGGCACTGCCACCCCGGTGGTGACAGCGCTGTCCCCGCAGCCACCCTGTCCCGCGAGCTGGCGGCGGGCGCGGCGGAGCTGCGGGCGCGGCGGGCCCGGGAGCAGCGGCTGCAGAACGAGCTGATCCGGGTAGGGCCCCGCGGGCACCGGGGGCTGCCCCGGGCTCGGGCCGTGCCCGGCACTCCCGGGCCGCTCTCCCCGCAGAAGAACGACCGCGAGCAGGAGCTGCTGCTGCTCCAGCGGCGCCGGCAGCGGCAGCGGGACAAGGTGACACGGCTCGGGTGACACGGACGGGCCGGGGACACCGCGAGCCCCCCGGGCCGGCCCGGGCTGGGCACGGAGCCCTGGCACCGCGCTGGGGACACGGCGACAGCGGTGCCTGTGCCCAGGTGATCGAGGCCATGGAGCGGCTGCTGCGGGACAGGAGCGCCGAGAGAGCCGCGGGTGGGCAGGAGGGGACAGCCACACCCGGGGTGTCCCCAATGTCCCTGGGATGTCCGGGGTGGGCAGGAGGGGACAGCCACAGCCGGGGTGTCCCCAGCTGTCCTGGGATGGTCCGGGGTGGGCAGGAGGGGAGCCCTTTGGGGTCTGTCCCAGCCCTTTGGGGTCTGTCCCAGCTGCAGGAGGCCGCCCGGAGCCGGGCCCGGGAGCAGCAGGAGTTGGGGACGCGCCTGCGGGAGCACGGGCTGGCCCTGGTGAGCCGGGGACAGGGGACAGCGGTGACACCAGAGACCTGCAGTGACCCTACAGTGACAACAATGCCCCCGGTGTCCCCACTGTCCCCAATGTCCCTCGTGACCTACAGTGACACCAGTGACACCAGTGTCTTGCAGTGACCTACGGTGTCCTACAGTGTCCCCAACACCCCCAGTGACCTACCCTACAGTGACAACAATGCCCCCGGTGTCCCCACTGTCCCCAATGTCCCTCAGTGCCCCCAATGTCTCCAGTGACCCCCAATGTCCCCGGTGTCCCTTGTGTCCCCAATGTCCCCCAATGTCCCCAGTGTCCCCAAAGTCCCCAGTGACCCCACTGTCCCCAGTGTCCCTGGTGACCCCCACAGTGTCCCCAGTGTCCCCAATGTGCCCAGTATCCCCAGTGTCCCAGATGACCCCAGTGTCCCCAATGCCCCAGGTGACCCCAGTGTCCCCAACCTCCCCAGTGACCCCCAGTGACCCCCAATGTCACAAGTGTCCCCAGTGTCTCAGAGGGTCCCCAATGTCCCCAGTGTCCCCAAAGTCCCCAGTGACCCCACTGTCCCCAGTGTCCCTGGTGACCCCCAGTGTCCCCAGCACCTCCAGTGTCCCCGTGTCCCCCAATGTCCCCCACTGTCCCAGTGCCCCCAATGTCCCCAATGCCCCCAGTGTCCCTGGTGCCCCCCAGTGTCCCCTGCCCACCACAGAGCCCTCCCCTGGACATGACTCCCAGTGTCCCCATTGGCCCCCATGTCCCCAGTGTCCCCAGTGTCCCCAATGTCCCTGGTGTCCCCAGTGTCCCCAATATCCCCAGTGTCCCTGTGACCCCGGTGTCCCCAGTGTCCCCAGTATCCTCAATGTCAACAGTGTCCCCGGTGTCCCCAGTGTCCCCAAAGCCACCCATGTCCCCAATGTCCCCAGTGTCCTCCAGTGTCCCCAGTGTCCCCAATGTCCCCGGTGTCCCCAGTGTCCCCAGTGTCCCCAATGTCCCCTGTGTCCCCGGTGTCCTCCAGTGTCCCCAGTGTCCCCAGTGTCCCCGGTGTCCCCAGTGTCCCACTATCCCCACTGTCCCCATGGGGTCCCCAGTGTCCCCAGTGTCCCCAATGTCCCCGGTGTCCCCAGTGTCCCACTATCCCCACTGTCCCCATGGGGTCCCCAGTGTCCCCGGTGTCCCCAGTGTCCCACTCTCCCCACTGTTCCCGTGGGGTCCCCAGTGTCCCCAATGCCCCCAATGCCTCCCATGTCCCAATGTCCCCACTGTCCCAGTGTCCCCAGTGTCCCCAATGTCCCCTGTGTCCCCGGTGTCCTCCAGTGTCCCCAGTGTCCCCACTGTCCCAGTGCCCCCAGTCCCCCCCCGTGCCCCCAGCCCCTCCCGGCCCTTCCCATGGAGCGGAGCCAGGCAGAACATTCCAGAACATTCCAGAACATTCCAGAGGCTCGGGGCAGCTCGGTGGGACCCCCGGAGCCAGAGGGGACCCCCAGCCCATCCCCTCCCCCTCTGTGTCCCCAGAGCGCGGCCCTGGCAGCGTGCCCCTGTCCCCAGGCGCCACCGCGGGCGCGGCGCTGTCCCCGTGTCCCCTCCTCAGGGCTGGCCCTCGAGGGGCCGCAGGCTCAGCTGGATGGGCCGGTCCGGGACCAGGATGAGCTCGAACTTGGTGCCGATCTCCACGGCCCGCGCGGTCTCGATCCTGAAGTTCTCCAGGACCTGCGCGGGGAGGACACGGCGCTGGGGCCTTGGGGACACCGTGGGACAGGCCCGGGGCCACCTCCGAGGCCACTCCCAGCTGAGCCGGGCCAGCATCCCACAGGATGGACCCTGGGCCACCGTGCTGTCCCCTCATGTCAGGGACTCAATGGGGACAGACCCTGCAGCCACCACGCTGTCCCCTCATGTGGGGACAGACCCTGCAGCCACTGCGCTGTCCCCTCGTGTCAGGGACTCCATGGGGACAGACCCCATGGCCACCACACTGTCCCCTCATGTGGGGACAGACCCCACGGCCACCGCGCTGTCCCCTCGTGTTGGGGACCCCACGGGCTGGAGCTCGCAGCCACCGTGCTTGCTCTTGAAGTTCTGCAGGATCTGGGAATTTCTCCTGCCCAGATGTTGGGATCGGGATCTTCCGGAGCCCCTGGGAAATGGGATTTGTTCTCTCCAGATGTTGGGAGTGTCTCCTGCCCGGATGTTGAGATGAGATCCTTCTGGAGCGCCTGGATCTGGGGAGTTGTTCTGTCCAGATGTTGGGATCGGGATCTTCCGGAGCCCCTGGGAAATGGGATTTGTTCTCTCCAGATGTTGGGATCAGATCCTTGTCCAGATGTTGGCACTGGGATCTTCTGGAGCCCCTGGATCTGGGAATTGCTCCCACCCAGATTGTGGGATGGGAACCTTTTCCAGCCCCTGGGAAATGGGATTTGTTCTCTCCAGATGTTGGGCCAGATTTGGGGATTTGGGATTTGGGGATTTGGGGTTTGGGATTTGCGGATTTTGAATTTGGGGGTTTGGGATTGAGGATTTGGGATTGGGGATTTGTGATTTGTGATCTGGGGTTTGAGATTGGGGATTGGGGATTTGGGATTGGGGTTTGGGAGGTTTGGGAATCGTCTCCACCCCCTGGATCTGGGAATTTCTCCTACCCAGATGTTGGGATCAAATCCTTGCCCAGATGTTGGGATCGGGATCTCCTGGAGCCCCTGGACAATGGGATTTGATCTCTCCAGATGTTGGGCTGGATTTGGGGATTCGGGATTGGGGATTTGGGATTGGGGATTTGGGGATTTGTGTTTTGGGAATCCTCTCCACCCCCTGGATCTGGGAATTCCCCCTGCCCAGATGTTGGGATCAGAACCTTCTGGAACATGGGGAATTCCCGCCGGGAATGCCGGGGCCGAGGCAATTCCCCAGTTCCAGAGGGGATTTTGGGATTCCCCGGTCTCGCTATCCCGAGACATCTCGATCCCAAAAATTCCCGGGTTTTTCCTGGATTGGCTGGTCCAGCGCGGGCTGCTGGCGCCCCCTGGCGGCGGTGACACCGCCGGTGACACCCGCGGGGTTCGGGATTGGGATTTGGGGTTTGGGGTTTGGGGATTTGGGGTTTTGGGATTTGGGATTTGGGGTTTGGGGTTTGGGGTTTGGGATTTGGGGATTTGGGATCCGGGGTTTGGGGTTTTGGGATTTGGGGTTTGGGGTTTGGGATATAGGATTTTGGGATTTGGGGTTTGGGACTCGAGATTTAGGATCCGAAATTTTGTGGTTTGGGATGCGGGATCTGTGGTTTGGGATCCGAGGTTTGAGGTTTGGGATTCAGGGTTTGGGATCCAGGATTTGGGCTCTGGGACCCACTGCCCCCTCCCTGTGTTCCCATTGTCAGTCCCATGTCCCTGTCCCCATTCTGGCCATGGAAATTTGGGATTTGGGATTTGGGATTGGGGGTTTGGGAATTCTCCCGGATTTCCCACCCTGCTCCATCAACTCTGGCATTCCCAGAGGGGAAAACCCGGGAATTCTTGGGGGATCCGGGGGGGTTTGGGGTCCCATCCAGGGGATTCCCTCCTCCGATCCCATTTTTTATTCAATATCCCAAATAAAAAAGGAGTTTCCAGCCAAATTCCAGATTAATTCCAGGCGTTCTCTGCCATAATTCAGGATTGAATATCCAGGGGGAAAACCCCAAATGGCCCGGAAGAGGCAAAATCTGGGAGAAAATCCCATTTTTTGGGCAGGGTTTTCCTTTGGGAAGGGGATTTTCCCGGGAAGTGGTGGGAATTGGGCGGGAACAGGGATCCCTGAAGGGTTAAAAAAGCGACGAAAAGAGAAATTCCACTTTTTTTATCCCGACTGGATGCAATTCCCGCCTTCTCCCGGAGGGCAGGAGCCGCTCTGGAGGCGCTTCCCGAGACCGAATCCCGAGGAATTCCACCCAAAATTCACTCCGGGAGTCACCCCGGAGTTTAAAAAGTAGGGAAAAGTGAAAATTCCAAGGTTTTTCCCGCCTGGATGCACTTCCGGAGTGCGGGAACCGCTCCGGGAGCGGAGCCTTGGAGCGAATCCCGCGGAATTCCAGCAGAATTCCTCCCGGAGGAGGAGGAGGGACAGGGAGGAAGGCTTGGAAAAGGGGGAGAAGGAAAAACAGGAGGAGGAAGAGGAGGGAGAGGAGGAAGAGGAGGGAGAGGAGGAGGAATAAGAGGAGAAAGGAGGAAGATTTGGAAAAGGAGGAGAAGGGAGAAGGAAAAAGAGGAGGAGGAGCAGGGAGGAAGGCTCGGAGAAGGAGGGAGAGGGGGAGGAGGAAAAAGAGGAGGAGGAGGCGGGGTCGGAGGAGGAAGGCTTGGAAAAAGGGGGAGAGGAGCAGAAGGAGGGACAGGGGAGGAGGAGAGAGAGAAGGAGGAGGGAGGAAGGCCTGGAAAAGGAGGAGAAGGAAAAAGAGAAGGAGGAGGAGGAGGAGGAGGAAGAGAAGGAGGAGGAGGAAGAAAAGGAGGGCGAAAAAGAGGAGGAAGAGGAAAAGGAGGAGGGGAGGAGGAGGAAGGCTTGGAAAAGGAGAAGAAGGAGAAGGAAAAAGAGGAGGGAGAGGGAGGAAGGTTTGGAAAAGGAGGAGGAGGGACAGGAGGGGCAGGAAAAAGAGGAGGGGGAGGAAAAAGAGGACGAGGAGGCGGGGTCGGAGGAGGGAGGAAGGCTTGGAAAAGGAGGAGAAGGAGAAGGAGGAGGACGAAAAAGAGGAGGAGGAAAAAGAGGAGGAGGAGAAGGAAAAGGAGGAGGAGGAGAGGAGAAGGAAGTGGAGGGAGGAAGGCTTGGAAAAGGAGGAGAAGGAAAAAGAGGAGAAAGAGGAGGAGAAGCAGAAGGAAGAAAAGGAGGAGGAAAAAAGGAAAAAGAGGAGGAGGAGGAGGAAGGAGAGGAGGAGGAGGAGGGAGAGCAGGAGCCGCGCTCCGGGCGGGCCGGGCCCGAGCGGCGCTGCCCCGGCTGCGGCTGCAGCGCGGGCAGCCGCCTGTGGCTGGCGGGCACCGCGGGCAGCGCGGGCAGCGCGGGCAGCGCGGGCAGCGTCCGCCGCCAGGCGCCCGCCTCGGGGACCGTGCGGGGACAGGCGCGACATCCCTTCGGCTTCGGCCAGGTGCCGCCCAACTGGCGGGACGGAGCGCTGGGCGACGGCGCGGGGGGACAGCGGCGACAGGCGGCGCGCGGGCGGCAGGGGGTGGCCGTGTCGTCCTTCGCCTTCGCCTCGGCGGGACAGCCGCCCTTTGTCGCCGCGGGGGTGGCGACGCACGGAGAGGGCGCCGAGGGTGTCCCCGCGTCGCGGGGAACAGCGATGGGGACAGGGATAGGGACAGGGATGGGGACACCTCTGGGGACAGGGATAGGGACACCTCTGGGGACAGGGATAGGGACACCTATAAGGACGGGGACACCTATAGGGACAGGGATGGGGACAGAAATGGGGACACCTATAGGGACAGGGATAGGGACACCTATAAGGACAGGGATGGGGACACCTCTGGGGACAGGGATAGGGACACCGATAAGGACAGGGACACCGATAGGGACAGGGATAGGGACAGAAATGGGGACAGGGACAGGGATAGGGACAGGAGTGGGGACACCTTTGGGGACAGGGATAGGGACACCTCTAGGGACAGCGATGGGGACAGGGCCGGGGGCGGCGTTCCCGCTGCAGCCCCGCGCGCTGCCCGAGGATTTCGGGGAGGAGCCGCAGCCCTACGGAGCCGCGGGGGTGCCGCTGGATCGCCGCTACTCGCACAGCCTGTACCACGACGGCGATGCCGAGGCGCAAACCGGGACGGGATCCATGGAAAATCTGGGATTTGGGGCGCAGTTCCCGCCCCGCGAGGCGCAGCCGCCGTTCCGGGCGCCCGAATCCTTTGGGGTCGCTCATCCCGAGCCCTTCGCTCCCGAAATTCCTCAGGCCGTGCCCGACAGCCAAGCCCGGCTCAGCGTGGGCAGCGTCTACAGGCCCAGCTTTGGGGCCAGGGGTGAGTTTGGGGTTTCCTTGGGATGGGCGGAATTCCCGGGATTTGCCACAGGGGGGTTGGGAATGAGGGGAACGGGGAGGGGGGGGCAGGGCCCGCTCGGGGGGATGGGATTGGGATGGGGCTGGGCCGTACCCAGGGTGATCCCATAATGTTGGGGTGGGCTGTGCCCGGTGCCACAGCGGTGCCACAGCGGTGCCAGCCACGCGGGGAGCCCGGCGGCGATGGCGGCGGGGCTGTGGCGGCGCGGGGCGCTCTGGGCCGCGCTGCTGCTGCTGGCGGCGGCGCAGGAGCCGTGGCGGCAGCTGATCCAGTGGGAGAACAACGGGCGGCTCTACAGCCTGCTCAACAGCGGCGCCGAGTTCGTGATGGGATTGGGATGGGGCTGGGCCGTACCCAGGGTGATCCCATAATGTTGGGGTGGGCTGTGCCGTGTCCCAGGGCACCCCAAACTTCTGGGATGGGAATGTGCCCTGTCCCAGGGCATCCCAAACTTCTGGGGTGGGAATGTGCTGTGTCCCAGGGCACCCCAAACTTCTGGGATGGGAATGTGCCCTGTCCCAGGGCATCCCAAATTTGTGGGATGAGGCTGGGCTGTGTTCCAGGTAATTCCAAATTTGTGGGATGAGGCTGGGCTGTGTCCCAGGTAATCCCAAATTTGTGGGATGAGGCTGGGCTGTGTTCATTTCCCAGGTCATCCCGTAATTTTGGGATGGGCTGTGCCATGTCCAAGGTCACACCTGGGATCTGTCCTGGGGCATCCCATAATTTTGGGCTAGGGCTGTGCTCCAGGTAATCCCAAATTTGTGGGATGGGGCTGTGCCACGTCCCAGAGCATTCCTGGGGTCTGTCCCGGGTAACTCCATTCTGGATCCCATTTTTCCATGGGATATTTGGGATGGGGCAGGGCTGGATCCCATTTTTCCATGGGGTGTTTATCCCATTTTTCCATGGGATATTTAGGTCAGGGCAGGGCTGGATCTCATTTTTCCATGGGATATTTGGGATGGGGCAGGGCTGGATCCCATTTTTCCATGGGGTGTTTATCCCATTTTTCCATGGGATATTTAGGTCAGGGCAGGGCTGGATCTCATTTTTCCATGGGATATTTGGGATGGGGCAGGGCTGGATCCCATTTTTCCATGGGGTGTTTATCCCAGTTATCCGTGGGATATTTGGGTTTTCCATGGGATGGGGCAGGGCTGGATCCCGTTTTTCCCGGCTGGGACTCGCTCCATTCCCAGATTTTTGGGAAGGACGGATGAATCCGTGCTCCGGTCACTCTGGGGTCACTCGGGGGTGGCTCCCTCCCCATCCCGATGAAATCCCATGGATTCGGGCTGAGCTTTCCGAGAGCTTTGGAGCCCTCGGAGCCGCTCCCAGCCCATCCCTCGGGAATCCCATCCCAGCCTGACCCCGTGCCCTGCCCAGCCCCATCCCAGTTTTCTGGGAAAAGCCATCCCGGAGGATTTGGGGCGGTGGGAAGGGCCCAGCCCTGCCCTACACAGCCAGGGAGGGAACGCTGCGGAAAAAACTCGGGAATGGGGATTTCTGGGATCGCAGAGAAGCCGGGAATGGGGTGCAGGGGGGGTGAAGGATGGGAGGAATTTTGGGACGCATTCAGGGAATGCTGGAATTCCCGAGGCTCTGGAGGGACACCCAAGGACAGCTGCCCTGCTGATGACCCGGCAAAGATTCCGGCCAAATTCCCCGGGAAAGATTCCAACCAAATTCCCCGTTGGCAGCGTCCGTGTCCTTCCAGGATCCCGCGAGGTGTCGGTGGCTCCGCCAGGGAATTCGGGACACCCAAATTCCCGGAACTTCCCACTTTTCCTGGAGAAATTTCCCAGGAACCCAGCTGATCCCCTCAAATTCCAGTCCCTCGCGGTGTTTTGGGAATGTTGTCACCTCCCTGTCACTTCCCGGGGATCCTAATTGAAGCAAACGATGGCCGGCGCCGGATCCGGCGTTGATTGTTAATTATTAATTATTAATGATTAATTCCACGGCCAAAGCTCCTCGGGAGCCTCCTAATCCCGGCCGGATCCGGCAGGAATGTGCGGCATTGCCGGCCCCCGGCCGGGGTTAATGAAGGAAGGAATCCGACCCCGCTGCTTCCAGCGGGAATTCTGGGGTTTCGGGGGGAACGGGGCCTGGGGGAATCTGGGAAGAGGGGCTGGGAAAATTCCAGGCCTGCTCCGGAGGTGGGAGGGATGGGAGCAGCTCCGGGGGTGGGGAAGGGAAGGGGATCCAGACCCCAAAAGTTTTCCGCACCCAGATCCCAACCCCAATCCCGTTTCCAGGGGTTTTGTGATCCCTGATCCCATTTCCAGGGGTTCCTCATCCTGATCCCAACCCTGATCCCATTTCCAGGGGTTTTGTGGTCCCTGATCCCATCTCCAGGGGTTCCTCATCCCAATCCCATCTCCAGGGGTTCCTCATCCCGATCCCATCTCCAAAAGCTTCCTAACCCCGATCCCAGCCCAGATCCCACTTCCAGGGGTTCCTCACCCCAATCCTGACCCTGATCCCATCTCCAGGGGTTCCTCATCCTGATCCCATCTCCAAAAGCTTCCTAACCCCAATCCCAGCCCAGATCCCACTTCCAGGGGGTCCTCACCCCAATCCTGACCCTGATCCCATCTCCAGGGGTTCCTCATCCCAATCCCATCTCCAAAATCTTCCTGACCCTAATCCCAACCCCAATCCCATCTCCAGGGGTTCCCTAACCCCGATCCAAACCCAGATCCTATCTCCAAAACTTCCTGGCCCCAATCTCTGCCCGTATCCCACTTCCTGGGGTTTCTCATCCCAATCCTGACCCCGATCCCATCTCCAGGGGTTTCTTACCCCAATCCCATCTCCAGGAATTTCCCCACCCCAATCCCACCTTGATCCCATCTCCAGGGGTTCTCTGATCCCTGATCCCACCTCCAGGGGCATCCCAACCCCAATCCCTCTCCAGATCCCATCTCCAGGGGCTTCCTCATCCCAATCCCATCTCCTGAGATTTCCCAACCCCAATCCCATCCCCAGGGGTTCCCTCAGCCTGATCCCAACCCTGATCCCGTCTCCAAAACTTCCTGGCCCCAATCCCTGCCCAGATCCCACTTCCAGGGGTTCCTCATCCCAATCCTGATCCTGATCCCACTTCCAGGGGTTCCTCACCTCAATCCCGATCCTGATCCCATCTCCAGGGGTTTCTTGCCCCGATCCCATCTCCAGTAGGGTTTTTCCCCCTGACCCCATGGATTGGGTCCCCCAGGGTTGGTTTTGGAAGGAAAGAGGGATTTGGGAATTCCATGGGGCGCTGGGAATTTGGGTCCCACCAAGCGGGAGTTCGGTGTCACCCCCGGATGGGCCGGGAGGTGTCGGAATTCCCAGGAAAGTCTCCCTCTGGTGGGATCAGATTTTGGGATTGGGGTGGTTCTGGGGGCTGGGAATCCCAGGATTCTGTGGGGATGGAGGAGGGATTGGGATTGGGATTGGGAATGGAATTGGGATGAGATTGGGATGGGATTGGGATGGGATTGATGGGGTGGGATTGGGATTGTGAAAGGAATTGGAATTGGGATTGGGATGGGATTGACAGGATGGGATTGGGATTGTAAATGGATTTGGATTGGGATTGAGATTGATGGGATGGGATTGGAATTGGAAATGGGATTGGGATGGGAGTGATGGCATGGGATTATTGGGATTGGGATTGCGAATGGAATTGGAATTAGGATTGGGAATATGATTGGATTGATGAGATTGGGAATGGAATTGGGATGGGATTGGGAACAGGATTGGGATGGGATTGATGGGATTTGGATTATTAATGGAATTGGAATTAAGACTGGGAATGGGATGGGATTTGTGGGAGGGGATGGGGATTGGGAATGGAATGGGAATTAGGATTGGAAATGGGATTGTGAATGGAATTGGGATTTGGATTGGGATTGGATTTATGGGATTGGGATTATTAATGGAATTTGAATTAGGACTGGGATTGGGATTGGGATGGGATTGATGGGATGGGAAGCTGGAATCCCCTCGGTCTCTCCAGATGTCCCCATTCCCATTCCCTCCGTTCCTGGCCTCCCCTGCTCCCACTTTTCCACGGCTCCCTGTGGGGTTTTCCCGCTGATCCCACAAACAGGGCTGATGATCCCGATTTTCCCTGGGAATGGAGGGAAATCTCCTCTGGCAGCTCCCGGGGCGGCCGAGGGGCCGGGTGGGAAAACCAAAAACCTTTTCCCAATGGGATTGTCCAGTCTGGGACTTTCCCTGGGTTTTTGGGAATCCTCAGCAAAACCCCCTGGAATTTGGGGTGGGACAGGGACAATTCCAGAGGTGGGGATCCCGATATCCCGTGAATTCCAGAGGTTCGACCCCAAAAAGGAGGTATGAGATCCTATAAAAACAACGGGGCCATCCCAGGGCAGAATCCAGCGGGAAAGGGGAAAATCCAAATCCCATAAAACTCCCCGTTGGTCCCGGAGTCGGATTTCGCTCCGGAGCTTCCAAGAATTCCTTGGAATAAACAACGGCAGGGGAGGGGAAACATTTCTGAAAGGATGGAAAACTTTTCCTTGGACGGCCCAGGGTGGTTTTCCATGGGGTTTTTTTGTTAGGAATTTTTTTTAAGGGATGGGGCAGAAGTTTTTTCCGAGCTCTCCCGGTTTTTTTTTGGGTCCCCCCGGGAATTACATCAGCAGGAATGGGGCAGGAAATGAGCTCCAAAGGAATGACGTGATCCCTCCCGGGAAGGCAGGCCCAGAAACAAGGAGGCATTGTTCTCCTTTCCAAGGAAAAATGGGGAAAGATGGGGAGAAAATGGGAGAAAAAGGGGGGGAAATGGGATATGTGGGGAAAAGCGGGGAAAACAGGAGAAACAGGGAAGAAAAATGGGGGGAAACTGGGAAAAACCAGGGGGAAAAGCAGGGAAAAGCAGGGAAAAATGGGGGGAAACTGGGAAAAACCAGGGGGAAAAGCAGGGAAAAATGGGGAGAAATGGAAAGAAAAAGGGAAAGATGGGGAATGTGATGGAAAATTGGGGAAAAACTGGGAAAAATGGGGAAAAATGGGGGGAAATGGAAAGAAAAAGGGGAAAGATGGGGAATGTGAGGGAAAATTGGGGAAAAACTGGGGAAAAAAAGAGGAAAAATGGGGGGAAATGGGAAAACAGGGGAACGGGAAAACGAGAAAATAGGGAAAATGGGACAAAAGAGGGGAAAATGAGGGAAAACAGGGCAGGGATAAGGATGGGAATGGGATGGGGATGGAAATGGGACGGGGAGAAGGGAAACTGAGGCACGGAGCGCCTGAGGAGCATCCCCCCATCCCGATCCTTCCCGAGGGGCTGATTCCAGGACAATTCCAGGTGCTGGAAGGGAATGGGAGGGTTGGAAAGGGTCGGAATTCCAGCTCCAGCTGGGCTCCATAAATTTGGGAACCCAAGGCAGCCCCATCTGTCCCTGCATCCCTCTGTCCCTCCCGGCTCTGGAATTGTCTGGAGTTCAAGGAAAAGAGGGATAAAGGCAGGGATAACCCCGCTTTCCCCCTGTTTTGGGGTGAAAAGCAGGGAATAGGGCAGGGAATTGGGATGCTGCTCTTCCAGGGATTGTCCCAGGGTCCCATCCCAGGGCTGGGACAGGGAATGGCTTCCAGGGAGAGGCTGGAGTGATCCTGATCCTGATCCCAAAATTCTGATCCTGATCCTGATGCAGATCCCAATCCCAATCCTGATCCCAATTCTGATGCTGATCCCAATCCCAATCCCAATCCCAGTCCTGATCACAGTCCTGATCCTTATCCTGATCTTGATCCCGATCCCCATCCCAATCCCAATCCAATCCCGATCCCACGGGCAGGCAGGAAATGCAGGATTGGGATGTGTCAGGGGGGCTGCAGTGAGGAGAGGAGGGAAGGGAGGATTTTCCAGCTGGAAATTGGGAAAACCTGGCAGGGCTGGGGACCCGGAATGTCCCCGCTGGGCTGCTGGGAGGAGGAGCCGTGGTCCCAATCCCTGTCCCCATGGATGTTCCCATTTTCCCAGTCTCCCAGATCCGATCCCAGATCCCAAATCCCAAATCCCCAGGCCTCCAGAAGCTGTGTCCCCAGTCCCTGTCCCCAACCCCTGTTCCCAATTTTCCCGTCAGGTCTCCCAGACCTGATCCCAGATTTCCCCAATCCCTGTTCCCAATCCCTGTTCCCAATGATGTCCCTGTTTTCCCAGATCTGATCCTGGATGTCCCCAGACCCGTCCCCAATCCCTGTTCCCAATTTCCCGGCAGGTGTCCTGGATCTGATCCCAGATCCCAGATGTCAGGGTCTCCAGCAGCTGTGTCCCCAGGGAATGTCTCCAGTCCTTGTTCCCGTTCCCATTTCCCAGCAGGTCTTCTGGTTTTGGTCCCAGATTTCCCCAATCCCCACTCCCATTTCCTGGCAGGTCTCCTGGATCTGATCCTGGATTTCCCCAGTCTTGGATTTCCCCAATCCCAATCCCGTTTCCCAGCAGGTCTCCCTGATCTGATCCCAGATTTCCCTGATCCCATTTCCTGATTTCCCAGCAGGTTTCCTGGACCTGATCCCAGATTTCCCCAATCCTGGATTTCCCCAATCCCAATCCCATTTCCCAGCAGGTCTCCTGATCCTGGATTTCCCCAGTTCCTGTCCCCAGTCCTGGATTTCCCCAATCCCTGATTTCCCCAATCCTGATCCCGTTTCCCAGCAGGTCTCCCAGATCTGATCCCTGATTTCCCTAATCCCAATCCCATTTCCTGGCAGGTCTCAAATCTGATCCCAGATTTCCCTAATTCCTATTCCCAATCCTGATCCCATTTCCTGGCAGGTCTCCCTGTCCCTGATCCCGTATTTCCCTGATCCTGGTCCCGTTTCCTGGCAGATCTCTTGATCCCGGATTTCCCCAATCCCAGATTTCCCCAATCCCAATTTCCCCGATCCCGGTCCCGTTTCCCGGCAGGTCTCCTTGTCCCCGATCCCAGATTTCCCCAATCCCAATTTCCCCGATCCCGGTCCCGTTTCCCGGCAGGTCTCCTTGTCCCCGATCCCAGATTTCCCCAATCCCAATTTCCCCGATCCCGGTCCCGTTTCCCGGCAGGGCTCCCGGACCTGGTCCCGGACCCCAACTACGTGCAGGCCTCGACGTACGTGCAGAGAGCGCACCTGTACTCGCTGCGCTGCGCCGCCGAGGAGCGCTGCCTGGCCAGGTGGGGACAGACGGGACAGCAGGACAGCGGGACAGCGGGACAGACGGGACAGCGGGACAGCGGGACACGGGACACGGGACAGCGGGACAGACGGGACAGACGGGACAGGGGGACAGAGGGACAGCGGGACAGCGGGACAGGGGGACAGCGGGACACCGGGACAGACGGGACAGACGGGACAAGGGGACAGCGGGACAGACGGGACAGCGGGACAGACGGGACAGAGGGACAGAGGGACAGCGGGACAGGGGGCACACCGGGACAGACGGGACATGGGGGCACATGGGATACAGGATATGGGGGACACGGGATACGGGACATGGGAGAGGCGGGATATGGGACATGGGGGACCCGGGACACCGGGACAGACGGGACAGGGGGGACACGGGATATGGGACATGGGGGACCCGGGACACCGGGACAGACGGGACAGCGGGACAGAGGGACAGAGGGACAGAGGGACAGCCCGGACAGCGGGCACGGGACAGCGGGACAGCGGGACAGACGGGACAGCGGGACAGCGGGACAGACGGGACAGGGGGACAGCGGGACACGGGACAGCGGGACAGACGGGACAGAGGGACAGAGGGACAGCGGGACAGGGGGCACACCGGGACAGACGGGACATGGGGGCACATGGGATACAGGATATGGGGGACACGGGATACGGGACATGGGAGAGGCGGGATATGGGACATGGGGGACCCGGGACACCGGGACAGACGGGACAGGGGGGACACGGGATATGGGACATGGGACACAGGAGAGATGGGAAAAACGGGACATGGGAGAGATGGGATATGGGACATGGGGGACACAGGATACAGGACACGGGACATGGGACACAGGATACAGGAGATGGGAGAGGCAGGATATGGGATATGGGAGAGATGGGATATGGGAACTGGGGGATACGGGACACAGGACATGGGGGAGATGGGATATGGGCCACGGGATACAGGACATGGGAGAGACAGGATACAGGACATGGGAGAGGCGGGATATGGGATATGGGATATGGGATATGGGACACAGGACATGGGGGAGATGGGATATGGGACACGGGATACAGGATACAGGATGTGGGAGAGACAGGATATGGGACATGGGAGAGATGGGATATGGGATATGGGATATGGGATATGGGAGAGACGGAATATGGGACACGGGATACAGGACATGGGACATGGGAGAAATGGGATATGGGGACTGGGGGACACGGGATACGGGACATGGGACATGGGAGAGACAGGCTATGGGACACGGGATGCGGGACACAGGATATGGGACATGGAGGAGATGGGACATGGGAAGGGAACATGGGGACACGGGATATGGGACATGGGGGAGATGGGATATGGGACACGGGATACAGGATACGGGACATGGGACACAGGAGATACAGAGGGGATTGGGATGAGGGGAAATGAGGATAAAAGGGATCTTGGGATGAGGGGGAGGTGGGGATACCCCGGCAGGGAGAGAGGGGGGAGGTGCTGATGGGGGAGAGGGAGGAGGAGGGGAGGGGAAAAGGGGAGAGGGAGGGATGGGAGAGAGGGAAGGGGAAAGGGAAAGGGAAGGGGAAAAGGGGAAAAGGGGAAAAAAGGAAGGGAAAAGGGGGCAAAAGGGTAAGGGAAGGGAAGGGAAGGGAAGGGAAGGGAAGGGAAGGGAAGGGAAGGGAAGGGCGCCGGGAGCAGCCCAGCCCAGCCCGGCCGGTTCCCCTCTCCATCCTTTCCTTTCCCACCGGAGGAATTCCCTCTGGAAAAGGGGATTCCCCTGGGCAGGCAGGGGCCAGCGGCAGTGCCAGCAGTGCCAGCAGTGTCCCTGTCCCTGTCCCCAGCACGGCGTACGCGGCCGAGGCCACCGACTACGACGTGCGGGTGCTGCTGCGCTTCCCGCAGCGCGTCAAGAACCAGGGCACGGCCGACTTCCTGCCCAGCCAGCCCCGCCACCGCTGGCAGTGGCACAGCTGCCACCAGTGAGTGTCCCCAGCTGTCCCCAACCTCGGCCCGGCCCCTGCTGGCAGCTCCGAGGGCTTTGGTGGCATTTCCCCACAGCTGTCCCCAACCTCGGCCCGGCCCCTGCTGGCAGCTCCGAGGGCTTTGGTGGCACTTTGGTGGCACTTTGGTGGCGCTTTGGTGGCACTTTGGTGGCATTTACCCGTTTGGTGGCTTTGCTTTGGGATGTTGCTGTGCGGTGTCACCTTCCGTGAACTCTTCGTCCCCAAAGTCACTGTGGTGGTGGCAGTGGCACAGGTGCCACCAGTGAGTGTCCCCAACCTCACTCCAGTCCTGGGTGGCAGCCCCAAGGGGTGCGGTGTCACCTTCCGTGAACTCTTCGTCCCCAAAGCCACTGTGTTGGTGGCAGTGGCACAGCTGCCATCAGTGAGTGTCCCCAGATGTCCCCTACCTTGGCCCAGCCCCCGCTGGCAGCTCCGAGGGCTTTGGTGGCACTTTGGTGGCACTTTGGTGGCACTTTGGTGGCACTTTGGTGGCGTTTCCTCATTTGGTGGCTTTGCTCTGGGGCCTTGCTGTGCGGTGTCACCCTCTTGGGGCTCTTTGTCCCCAAAGCCGCCATCCATGCTGCTGGCAGTGGCACAGCTGCCAGCTGTCACTGTCCCCAGCCCTGTCCTTGCCACCACCCCCCCTCTGGTGACAGTTTTGAGGCTTTTTCGTGGAATTTCCCCATTTTGGGTCATTCTGGGGGTTCTGTTGGGGTTGGCGTCACCTCCTTTGGGCTCTTTGTCCCCAGAGCCACCATGATGGTGGCAGTGGCACCGCTGCCACCAGGGAGTGTCCCCAGCCCTGTCCCCAGCCCTGGTGACACCTTTAAGGCGTTCTAGTGGCATCCCCCGCTCGGTGGCTTTGGGGTTGGTGTCACCTTCCGTGGGCTCTTTGTCCCCAAAGCCACCGCGCCCCGGAGCTGATGTCCGTTCCGGGAAGGGAAGGGAAGTTCCGGGAAGGGAAGGGAAGGGAAGGGAAGGGAAGGGAAGGGAAGGGAAGGGAAGGGAAGGGAAGGGCGCCGGGAGCAGCCCAGCCCAGCCCGGCCGGTTCCCCTCTCTGTCCCTTCCTTTCCCACGGGAGGAAATTCCCTCTGGAAAAGGGCATTCCCCTGGGCAGGCAGGGGCCAGCGGCAGTGCCAGCAGTGCCAGCAGTGTCCCTGTCCCTGTCCCCAGCACGGCGTACGCGGCCGAGGCCACCGACTACGACGTGCGGGTGCTGCTGCGCTTCCCGCAGCGCGTCAAGAACCAGGGCACGGCCGACTTCCTGCCCAGCCAGCCCCGCCACCGCTGGCAGTGGCACAGCTGCCACCAGTGAGTGTCCCCAGCTGTCCCCAACCTCGGCCCGGCCCCTGCTGGCAGCTCCGAGGGCTTTGGTGGCACTTTGGTGGCACTTTGGTGGCGCTTTGGTGGCACTTTGGTGGCATTTACCCGTTTGGTGGCTTTGCTTTGGGATGTTGCTGTGCGGTGTCACCTTCCGTGAACTCTTCGTCCCCAAAGTCACTGTGGTGGTGGCAGTGGCACAGGTGCCACCAGTGAGTGTCCCCAACCTCACTCCAGTCCTGGGTGGCAGCCCCAAGGGCTTTGGTGGCACTTTGGTGGCGCTTTGGTGGCACTTTGGTGGCGTTTCCCCATTTGGTGGCTTTGCTTTGGGGTCTCCCTTCATCTCTTTGTCTTCCTTCATCCCCAAAGCCATCATCCATGTTGGTGGCAGTGGCACGGCTGCCACCAGTGAGTGTCCCCAGATGTCCCCAACCTTGGCCCAGCCCCCGCTGGCAGCTCCGAGGGCTTTGGTGGCACTTTGGTGGCACTTTGGTGACACTTTGGTGACACTTTGGTGGCACTTTGGTGGCACTTTGGTGGCGCTTTGGTGGCACTTTGGTGGCGTTTCCCCATTTGGTGGCTTTGCTTTGGGGTCTCCCTTCATCTCTTTGTCTTCCTTCATCCCCAAAGCCATCATCCATGTTGGTGGCAGTGGCACGGCTGCCACCAGTGAGTGTCCCCAGATGTCCCCAACCTTGGCCCAGCCCCCGCTGGCAGCTCCGAGGGCTTTGGTGGCACTTTGGTGGCACTTTGGTGACACTTTGGTGACACTTTGGTGGCACTTTGGTGGCACTTTGGTGGCGCTTTGGTGGCACTTTGGTGGCGTTTCCCCGTTTGGTGGCTTTGCTCTGGGGCCTTGCTGTGCAGTGTCACCCTCTTGGGGCTCTTTGTCCCCAAAGCCGCCATCCATGCTGCTGGCAGTGGCACAGCTGCCAGCTGTCACTGTCCCCAGCCCTGTCCTTGCCACCACCCCCCTCTGGTGACAGTTTTGAGGCTTTTTCGTGGAATTTCCCCATTTTGGGTCATTTTGGGGGTTCTGTTGGGGTTGGCGTCACCTCCTTTGGGCTCTTTGTCCCCAGAGCCACCATGATGGTGGCAGTGGCACCGCTGCCACCAGGGAGTGTCCCCAGCCCTGTCCCCAGCCCTGGTGACACCTTTAAGGCGTTCTAGTGGCATCCCCCGCTCGGTGGCTTTGGGGTTGGTGTCACCTTCCGTGGGCTCTTTGTCCCCAAAGCCACCGCGCCCCGGAGCTGATGTCCCCTCTGCCCCGGTGACTGTCCCCAAGGGGGGGCTGCCACCTGCTGTGCCCCTCCTGCCACCCTGGAGGGTGGGGACGTCCCCATGGTGACACCCCCGAGTGTCCCCTGGGTGCCCCCACTGTCCCCATGGTGTCCCCAGAGTGTCCCCATGTCCCCAGGCACTACTGCTGGATGTCCCCAGAGTGTCCCCTGAGTGTCCCCGGAGTAACCTCTGAGTGTCCCCTGCTGTCCCCAGATTTATCCCATAGCTTGTCCCCTGATTGTCCCTTGAGTGTCCCCTTGACTGTCCCCTGAGTGTCCCAAAGCATCCCCTGGTGTCCCCTGTCCCCTGGTGTCCCCATGTCCCCACGGTGTCCCCACAGTGTCCCCCAGTGTCCCCACGGTGTCCCCACGGTGTCCCCATGTCCCCAGGCACTACCACAGCATGGCGGAGTTCAGTCCCTGTGACCTGCTGGGTGTCACCTGAGTGTCCCTGACTGTCCCCAGAGCTCCCCGAGTGTCCCCAGCCTGTCCCCATGCTGTCCCTAGAATGTCCTCATGGTGTCCCCAGGCTGTCCCCGTGGTATCTCCAGCCTGTCCCTACCTTGTCCCCCTGGTGTCCCTGTCCCCACGGTGTCCTTGTGGTATCCCCACAGTGTCCTCTGTCCCCCTGGTATCCCCCTGGTGTCCCCATGTCCCCTGGTGTCCCCACGGTGTCCCCACGGTGTCCCCCAGTGTCCCCTGTCCCCAGCCTGTCCCCATGTCCCATGTCCCCACCATGTCCCCGGTGTCCCCTGTCCCCCTGGTGTCCCCACGGTGTCCCCTGTCCCTGTGGTGTCCCCACAGTGTCCCCATGTCCCCAGAGTGTCCCCTCGTGTCCCCACAGTGTCCCCATGGTGTCCCCAGTGTCCCCATGTCCCTGGTGTCCCCATGTCCCCAGTGTCCCCGTGTCCCCTGGTGTCCCCACGGTGTCCCCACGGTGTCCCCATGTCCCCTCGTGTCCCCACGGTGTCCCCACGGTGTCCCCATGTCCCCTGGTGTCCCCACGGTGTCCCCTGTCCCCAGGCACTACCACAGCATGGCGGAGTTCAGCCACTACGACCTGCTGGATGTCACCTCGGGCCGCCGGGTGGCCGAGGGACACAAGGCCAGCTTCTGCCTGGAGGACACCACCTGCGACTTCGGCCACCTCAAGCGCTACGCCTGCACCGCCCACACCCAGGTGACACCTGGGGATGGCACCTTTGTTACCTGTGTCACTCTGTGTCACTTTTGGGCCCTGTTTTGTCCTCTTTTGTCCCTTTTCTGTCCCCTTTTATCCATTTTTTGTCCCTTTCTTGTCCCTTTTTGTCCCATTTCGTCCCTTTTGTCCCCACTTGTGGCACTGTCACTGTGTTCTGCACCGCCCACACGCAGGTGACACTGGGGACAGTGCCTTTGTCACCTCTGTCCCTTTGTGTCACTTTTGGGCCCTTTTTTGTCCCTATTTTCCCCTTTTTCTCCATTTTCTGTCCCCTTTTCTCCCCTTTTTGTCCCTTTTGTCCCCACTTGTGTCACTGTGTCTGCACCGCCCACACCCAGGTGACACCTGGGGATGGCACCTTTGTCACCTCTGTCACTTTGTGTCCCCTTTTGTCCCTTTTTTCCCCCCTTTTATCAATTTTTTGTCCCTTTCTTGTCCCTTTTTGTCCCATTTTGTCCCTTTTGTCCCCACTTGTGTCACTGTGTCTGCACCGCCCACACCCAGGTGACACCTGGGGATGGCACCTTTGTCACTTCTGTCACTTTTTGTCCCTTTTGTCCCTGTTTTCCCCTTTTCTCCATTTTTCGTCCCTTTTTTGTCCCTTTTTGTCCCTTTTGTCCCCACTTGTGGCACCGTGACTGCACCACCCACACGCAGGTGACACCGGGGACAATGGCCTTTGTCACTTCTGTCACTTTTTGTGTCACTTTTGTCCCTTTTATGTCCCTTTTTGTCCCCTTTTCTCCCTTTTTTGTCCTTTTCCCCCTTTTGGTCCCTTTTTTGTCCCCTTTCCCCATTTTTCCCAATTTCCCCATTTCCCACCCCATTTCCCTCCATTTTTGTTCCCCTTTTCCCCCGTTTTTCCACCTTTTTTCCCCTTTTTTCATTTTTTCCCATTTTTCCCTTTCCCCCCATTTTTTACCTTTTTTCTCCCTTTATTTTCATTTTTGTCCAGTTACGGGACAGCGGGACACGGGGACACCGGGACACCGGGACACCTGGGGACATCTGGGGACATTTTGGGGATATTTTGGAACTTTTGGGAACGTTTTGGGGACGTTTGGGGACATTTTGGGGACATTTTCTTCTCAAGATCTCACTCTGGCCTCTTACAGCACCCAAGGGATCCTTTTGGATCCTTTTTTCCCATTTTCCCCCCTATTTTTCCCCTTTCCCCCATTTTTTAAGCTTTTTTCCTCCATTTTTCATTTTTTAAATTTTTTCTCCCATTTTTGCCCAATTTCCCCATTTCTCACCCCATTTTCCTCTCCAGGTTTCACCCTGGGCTTTACAACACCCGAGGGATCCTTTCTGATCCTTTTTTCCCATTTTCCCTCCATTTTCCCCCATTTTTAACCTTTTTTCTCCATTTTTCATTTTTTCCATATTTTTCTCCCATTTTTTCCCAATTTCCCCATTTTTTACCCCATTTTCCCCTCAAGCTCTCACCCTGGCCTGCTACAACACCCAAGGGATCCTTTTGGATCCTTTTTTCCCATTTTCCCCCCTATTTTTCCCCTTTCCCCCATTTTTAAGCTTTTTTCCTCCATTTTTCATTTTTTAAATTTTTTCTCCCATTTTTGCCCAATTTCCCCATTTCTCACCCCATTTTCCTCTCAAGATCTCACCCTGGGCTGTTACAACACCCAAGGGATCCTTTTTTTCCCATTTTTCCTCCATTTTTCCCCTTTTCCCCCCATTTTTAAACTTTATTTCCCCTTTTTTTCAATTTTCCCATCTTCTCTCCCCCTTTTGCCCAATTTCCCCATTTCTCACCCCATTTTCCTCTCAAGATCTCACCCTGGGCTGTTACAACACCCAAGGGATCCTTTTTTTCCCATTTTTCCTCCATTTTTCCCCTTTTCCCCCCATTTTTAAACTTTATTTCCCCTTTTTTTCAATTTTCCCATCTTCTCTCCCCCTTTTGCCCAATTTCCCCATTTCTCACCCCATTTCCCCCCTATCCCAGGTCCAGGTCAATCCCAAATATTTGGTGCTGGAGTCGGATTTCACCAACAACGTCGTGCGCTGCCACATCCACTACACCGGGCGCTTCGTGTCGGCCTCCAACTGCCGCATCGGCCAGTACGGAGCGCGGCCCCAAAAACACCATCCCAAAAACCCCGATCCCAAACCCCGATCCCAAAGCCCGATCCCAAACCCCGATCCAAAACCCCGATCCCAAACCCCTGAGCCCAAAACCCTGAGCCCAAACCGCTGACCCCAAAACCCTGATCCCAAAAATCCCTGATCCCAAAAACCCAGATCTCAAAATTAAACCATCCCAAAACACCCTGATCCCAAAAAACCCAGCCCAAAAATCCCCATCCTAAACACCAAAATCCCAAAAATAACCCATCCCAAAAATCCCGATCCCAAAAAACCCTGATCCCAAACAACCCTGATCCCAAAAAAACCCCGATCCCAAAAATCCCCATCCCAAAAACCCCGATCCCAAAAACACTGATCCCAAAAACCCCGATCCCAAAAATCCCCATCCCAAGAAAACCCCGATCCCAAACAACCCTGATCCCAAGAATAAACCATCCCAGAAAACCCCAATCCCAAAAAACCCTGTTCCCAAAAACCCAGATCCCAAAAATCCCTGATCCCAAACAACCCCGATCCCAAAAATCCCCATCCCAAAAAAAACCCCGATCCCAAACACCCCTGGGCCCTCTGTCCCTTTTCCCGCTTTTCCCCCAATTTTTTCCTTTCTTTTCTGGGGCGCTTTCGGTGGCGCAGCTCAGGGAAGCGATCGGGATTTGGGGTTTTCCAAATTCTCCATGGAATTTTATGGGATCTCTCCCTTTGGGGTTGGGATTTTGCTCCTTTCCCATGGAATTCTCTGGGATTTGGGGCAGGAATTGGGATTTTCCCCATTTTTCACGGAATTTTTCAGGATTTGGGGTGGGAATTGGGATTTTGTTCCTTTCCCGTGGAATTTTCTGGGATTTGCCCATTTGGGATCAATTTTTTTCCTCCTTTTCCATGGCATTTTCTGGGATTTGGGCTGGGAATTGGGATTTTCCCCTTTTCCATGGGATTCTTTGGGATTTGGGGCAGGAATTTGGGTTTTCCTCCTTTCCCATTTCCCGTTTCCCCGCAGATCCTGACGGCAGCCGAAGCCCCGGAGCGTCGCCCGTCCCCTTTCCCGGGAAGTTCCCGAGGTGGCTCCGCGGCGTTCCCAAAGTTCCCCCTTTTCCCAATAAAAAGCGGGGAAGCCACGAGGACTCTTTGGAATCGTTTTTATCCCAAATTTTCCCGGCATTCCCGGCTTTTCCCCCGTTTCCCGAGGAAATCCAAAGCAGGGACCCCAAAATGCTCCATAAAATCCTCGTGATCCTACAAATCTTTGGGAATTTTTGGGAATGTCCCCAAAGGGGGAAAGAAACAGCTCCGGGAATTTTGGGGAGGGAAATCCTATAAATTTTTTTAGGGAATGTTTCTGTTTTCCCGACAGAGAGAGCAGAGGTTGGGATTTGGGAATTTTTGGGCTGGGAATGGGGACGGGAATGGGGTCAGTGGGATTGGGGACAGTGGGATTGGGGACATTGGGAACGGGAATGGGGACAATGAGAATGGGACATTGGGATTGGGACACCGGGATGGGACTGGGGACACTGGGAATGGGGACATTGGGAATGGGAATGGGACATTGGGATTGGGACACCGGGATGGGACTGGGGACACTGGGAATGGGGACATTGGGAATGGGAATGGGACATTGGGATTGGGACAGCGGGATGGGACTGGATTGACTGGGAATGGGGACAATGAGAATGGGACATTGGGATTGGGACACCGGGATGGGACTGGGGACTCTGGGAATGGGGACATTGGGAATGGGGACTTTGGGAATGGGGACACTGAGAATGGGACATTGGGATCGGGACACCGGGATGGGACTGGGGACACTGGGAATGGGGACATTGGGAATGGGGACTTTGGGAATGGGGACACTGAGAATGGGACATTGGGATTGGGACACCGGGATGGGACTGGGGACACTCGGAATGGGGACACTGTGACTGGAATGGGGACACTGGGATTGGGGATGGGGACTTTGGGATTGGGGACACGAAGGTTGGGGACACTGGGATGGGAATAGGGACACTGAGAATGGGACATTGGGATTGGGACACCGGGATGGGACTGGGGACACTGGGAATGGGGACATTGGGAATGGAGTGGGGACACCGGGATGAGAATGGGGACACCAGGACAGGACTGGGGACACGGGGACAGGAATGGGGACATTGGGAATGGAGTGGGGACACCCCGATGAGAATGGGGACACCAGGACAGGACTGGGGACACGGGGACAGGAATGGGGACATTGGGAATGGGAATGGGAATGGGAATGGGGACACCGGGACGGGATTGGGGACATTGGGAATGGGCATGGGGACACTGACATGGGAATGGGGACAGTGGGAGTGGGGCCACAAATGGAGACAGTGGGATTGGGATGGGGACACTGGGGAATGGGGACATTGGGAATGGAGTGGGGACACCGGGATGAGAATGGGGACACCAGGACAGGATTGGGGACAGGAATGGGGACATTGGGAATGGGGACAATGGAATGGGATTGGGGACATTGGGAATGGGAATGGGGACACTGACATGGGAATGGGGACAGTGGGAGTGGGGCCACAAATGGAGACAGTGGGATTGGGATGGGGACACTGGGAATGGGGACACCGAGATGGGATTGGGGACACGGGGACAGGAATTGAGAATGGGAATGGGGACACTGACGGAAATAGGGACAGTGGGAGTGGGGACACAAGGATGGGATTGGGGACAGGGGGATGGGAATGGGGACATTGGGAATGGGGTTGGGGACCTTGGAAAGGGGGACACTGGGACAGGAATGGGGACATTGGGAATGGGAATGGGGACATTAGGATGGGAATGGGACATTGGGAATGGGGACAGTGGGAATGGGAATAGGGACATTGGGAATGGGGACACTGGGAGGGAATGGGGACATTGGGATGGAATGGGACACTGGGAATGGGGACACCGGGATGGGATTGGGGACATTGGGAATGGGGACACTGGGAACAGGACTGGGGACACTGGGATGGGAATGGGGACACTTGGAGAGGATTGGTGACACTGGGACAGGAGCGGTGGCCCTCCCCACCCCATTCCTTGGATTCCGCCCCAGAGTGATCCTCGGACACCGCGGGTCCTTGTGGGATTTTACGGGATTTCCGTCAGTCCTTGTGGGATTTACTGGGATTTCCGTCAGTCCTTGTGGGATTTTACGGGATTTCCGTCGCTCATTCCAGGATTTATCGGGATTTCCGTCGCTCACTCCGGGTTTATGGGATTTCCGTCGCTCACTCCGGGTTTATGGGATTTCCGTCGCTCATTCCGGGTTTTATCAGGATTTCCATTGGTCATTCCGGGTTTATGGGATTTCCGTCGCTCATTCCGGGTTTATGGGATTTCCGTCGCTCATTCCAGGTTTATGGGATTTCCGTCGGTCATTCCGGGTTTATGGGATTTCCGTTGGTCATTCCGGGTTTATGGGATTTCCGTCGGTCATTCCGGGTTTATGGGATTTCCGTCGGTCATTCCGGGTTTATGGGATTTCCGTCGCTCACTCCGGGTTTATGGGATTTCCGTCGCTCATTCCGGGTTTATGGGATTTCCGTCGGTCATTCCGGGTTTATGGGATTTCCGTCGGTCATTCCGGGTTTATGGGATTTCCGTCGCTCATTCCGGGTTTATGGGATTTCCGTCGCTCACTCCGGGCTCATGGGGAATTCCGGCGCCGGAGGCCGATGGCCAGCGCGGCTCCGGCCACGGCCACGCCGGCCACCGCGCAGGCCAGCGCTGTCCCCACGGCCAGCGGTGTCACCGCGCCTGCGAAGGGACACCGAGTGACATGGAGGGGAGCGGGGATTGTCACCAGGTGACACCCACTGTCACCGGGTGTCACCAGTGTCACTTGGTGTCACACAGTGTCACCCAGAGTCACCCAGTGTCACCAGTGTCACCCAGTGTCACCTCAGGACTCACCCTGGTGGCCCTATGGGACTGGGGACACTGGGAATGGGGACACTGTGACTGGAATGGGGACACTGGGATTGGGGATGGGGACTTTGGGATTGGGGACACGAAGGTTGGGGACACTGGGATGGGAATAGGGACACTGAGAATGGGACATTGGGATTGGGACACCGGGATGGGACTGGGGACACTGGGAATGGGGACATTGGGAATGGAGTGGGGACACCGGGATGAGAATGGGGACACCAGGACAGGATTGGGGACAGGAATGGGGACATTGGGAATGGGGACAATTGAATGGGATTGGGGACATTGGGAATGGGAATGGGGACACTGGGAATGGGGACACTGGGATGGGATTGGGGACATTGGGAATGGGGACACTGGGAACAGGACTGGGGACACTGGGATGGGAATGGGGACACTTGGAGAGGATTGGTGACACTGGGACAGGAGCGGTGGCCCTCCCCACCCCATTCCTTGGATTCCGCCCCAGAGTGATCCTCGGACACCGCGGGTCCTTGTGGGATTTTACGGGATTTCCGTCAGTCCTTGTGGGATTTACTGGGATTTCCGTCAGTCCTTGTGGGATTTTACGGGATTTCCGTCGCTCATTCCAGGATTTATCGGGATTTCCGTCGCTCACTCCGGGTTTATGGGATTTCCGTCGCTCACTCCGGGTTTATGGGATTTCCGTCGCTCACTCCGGGTTTATGGGATTTCCGTCGCTCATTCCGGGTTTTATCAGGATTTCCATTGGTCATTCCGGGTTTATGGGATTTCCGTCGCTCACTCCGGGCTCATGGGGAATTCCGGCGCCGGAGGCCGATGGCCAGCGCGGCTCCGGCCACGGCCACGCCGGCCACCGCGCAGGCCAGCGCTGTCCCCACGGCCAGCGGTGTCACCGCGCCTGCGAAGGGACACCGAGTGACATGGAGGGGAGCGGGGATTGTCACCAGGTGACACCCACTGTCACCGGGTGTCACCAGTGTCACTTGGTGTCACACAGTGTCATCAGTGTCACCCGGTGTCACCAGGGTCACCCAGTGTCACACAGTGTCACACAGTGTCACCAGTGTCACCCGGTGTCACCAGGGTCACACAGTGTCACCCAGTGTCACACAGTGTCATCAGTGTCACTTGGTGTCACCCAGTGTCACCAGGGTCACCTCAGGACTCACCCTGGTGGCCCTCGGGGCGCTGGCCACGCTGCGCACTCGAGAGCAGCACGGGACCGATGACAACGTCAGCTTCGGAGGTGGCACCTGGGGACATGGGGACAGTGAGGAGGGATCACCCCACCCCAGTGTCCCCATGTCCCACTGTCCCATGTCCCTCTGTCCCCAGTGTCCCCATGATGCCCCCATGTCCCCCACTGTCCCCACGTCCCGTCCCCTCCCTGTCCCCATGTCATGCTGTCCCCATGTCCCCATGCTGTCCCTTTGTCCCCACATCCCCCTGTCCCCAAGTTCCCCGTGTCCCCGGTATCCCCAGTGTCCCCACGTCCCCCTGCTGTCGTCCGCTGTCCCCCGCTGTCCCCACGTCCCCCTGTCCAGCTGTCCCCCTGTCCCCTGTCCCGCTGTCCCCCTGTCCCCCTGTCCCCTGTCCCCCTGTCCCGCTGTCCCCTGTCCCCTGTCCCCTGTCCCCCTGTCCCCTGTCCCCTGTCCCCCTGTCCCCTGTCCCCTGTCCCCCTGTCCCCTGTCCCCTGTCCCCCTGTCCCCTGTCCCCTGTCCCCCTGTCCCCTGTCCCCTGTCCCCCTGTCCCCTGTCCCCTGTCCCCCTGTCCCCTGTCCCCTGTCCCCCTGTCCCCTGTCCCCTGTCCCCCTGTCCCCTGTCCCCTGTCCCCCTGTCCCCTGTCCCCTGTCCCCCTGTCCCCTGTCCCCTGTCCCCCTGTCCCCTGTCCCCTGTCCCCCTGTCCCCTGTCCCCTGTCCCCCTGTCCCCTGTCCCCTGTCCCCCTGTCCCCTGTCCCCTGTCCCCCTGTCCCCTGTCCCCTGTCCCCCTGTCCCCTGTCCCCTGTCCCCCTGTCCCCTGTCCCCTGTCCCCCTGTCCCCTGTCCCCTGTCCCCCTGTCCCCTGTCCCCTGTCCCCCTGTCCCCTGTCCCCTGTCCCCCTGTCCCCTGTCCCCTGTCCCCCTGTCCCCTGTCCCCTGTCCCCCTGTCCCCTGTCCCCTGTCCCCCTGTCCCCTGTCCCCTGTCCCCCTGTCCCCTGTCCCCTGTCCCCCTGTCCCCTGTCCCCTGTCCCCCTGTCCCCTGTCCCCTGTCCCCCTGTCCCCTGTCCCCTGTCCCCCTGTCCCCTGTCCCCTGTCCCCCTGTCCCCTGTCCCCTGTCCCCCTGTCCCCTGTCCCCTGTCCCCCTGTCCCCTGTCCCCTGTCCCCCTGTCCCCTGTCCCCTGTCCCCCTGTCCCCTGTCCCCTGTCCCCCTGTCCCCTGTCCCCTGTCCCCCTGTCCCCTGTCCCCTGTCCCCCTGTCCCCTGTCCCCTGTCCCCCTGTCCCCTGTCCCCTGTCCCCCTGTCCCCTGTCCCCTGTCCCCCTGTCCCCTGTCCCCTGTCCCCCTGTCCCCTGTCCCCTGTCCCCCTGTCCCGCTGTCCCCTGTCCCCTGTCCCCTGTCCCTCACCGTGCCCGTCGTGTCTCCGGTAGCGGTGCCCGTCCCAGCGCCCCGCGGGTGCCCCGCGCTGGCCGCAGGTGCCGCGCTCGCAGCAGCTGCAGATGTCCCTTGTCCCCTCCACGGGCGCCCAGCTGGGGCACGGAGGTGACACCGTCAGCCGGTGCCACCGGGGCGGGTGCCACCGGGAAGGTGCCACCGCGGAGATGCCGCCAGGGAGGTGACACCAGGGAGGTGACACAGGGAGGTGACACAGGGCAGGTGACACCAGAGAGGTGACACAGGGCAGTGACACAGGGAGGTGACACTACAAAGGTGGCACCAGGGAGATGACATGGGGAGGTGACACAGGGAGGTGACACGGGGAGGTGACACAGGGAGGTGACACAGGGAGATGACACTGGGGAGGTGACACAGGGAGGTGACACGGGGCGGTGACACGGGCAGGTGACACTGGGGAGGTGACACAGGCAGGTGACACCGGGAGGTGACACGGGGAGGTGACACTGGGGAGGTGACACGGGCAGGTGACATGGAGGTGACACAGGGAGGTGACACAGGGAGGTGACACTGGGGAGGTGACACAGGGAGGTGACACAGGGCGGTGACAGGGGGCAGGTGACACAGGGAGGTGACACTGGGGAGGTGACACTGGGGAGGTGGCACGGAGGTGACACGGGGCAGTGACACGGGGAGGTGACACAGGGAGGTGACACGGGGCGGTGACACAGGGAGGTGACACCGGGAGGTGACACAGGGAGGTGACACTGGGAGGTGACACAGGAAGGTGACACGGGCAGGTGACATTAGGAGGTGACACCGGGAAGTGACACAGGCAGGTGACACCGGGAGGTGACACGGGGCAGGTGACACCGGCAGGTGACACGGGCAGGTGACACCCGGAGGTGACACGGGCCGGTGACACCGGGAGGTGACACGGGCAGGTGACACAGGGAGGTGACACGGGCAGGTGACACGGGGAGGTGACACGGGCAGGTGACACCCGGAGGTGACACGGCAGGTGACACTCACGTGTTGCGCGCCTTGCTGAAGGAGCAGGCCTTGTTCAGCGCGTCCGGGCTCTGCTCGGCCGGTGTCACCTTCAGGTGACACGTGATGTAGATCTGCGCAGGGGACACTGCTGGGGACACCGCGGGGCCACCGGGAGGCGCTGGGGACAGGGGGTGTCCCCGGTGTCCCCGGGGTGTCACTGTCACCTTACCAGGCTGCGGGGGTCGCCGGCGAAGCGGAAGGCGTCGATCTGGAAGCGCAGCACGTCCTGCCGCGGCCGGGGGGTGACAAAGGCCGAGCTGGTGGCATCCGAGCGCCCGTCCACCAGGCACCTGTGGGGACAGCAGGGACACGGCCCGGGGACACGGTCACAGCCATGGGGACACAGCCCGGGGACACGGTCACAGCCATGGGGAGAGTGGGACATGGCCCTGGGGACAGCAGGGACACATCCCGGGGACACAGTCACAGCCACAGGGACAGCAGGGTTACACCCTGGGGACAGCAGGGTCACAGCCACAGGGACAGAGGGGTCACGGCCATGGGGACAGCGGGGACGGTCACAGCCATGGGGACAGCAGGGACAGAGCTCTGGGGACAGCGGGGTCACAGCCACGGGGACAGTGGGACATGGCCCTGGGGACAGCAGGGACACATCCCGGGGACACAGTCACAGCCATGGGGACAGCGGGGCTACACGGTCACAGCCATGGGGACAGCAGGGACACAGCCCCAGGGACAGCAGGGGCACAGTCCTGGCTGGCAGTGCAGTGTCCCCAAGTGTCCCCAGATCAGCTGAGGAAGTGACAAGGGCTCAGCACCTCATGGGTGACCCCAGACCTCGAAATGTCCTCAAATGTCCCCAGATTGTCCTCAAATGTCCCCAGATTGTCCCCAAATGTCCCCAAATGTCCCTGTACTCACCCATTGAAGCCAGTGATGGGTAATGAGGCATCGCCACCATGTCCCAGACCCCAAAGTGCCCCCAAATGTCCCCAAAGGTCCCCAGACTCCCCCATTGTAGTCGATGATGGAGCAGTGGGACGGGATGAGGTGCCACCACCCCCTGACCGTGCCCCTCACCCCCAATTGCCCCAAAATGTCCCCAAACATCCCCAAATGTCCCCAAACGTCCCTGAATTATCCCCAGATGTCCCCTGCGCACCCGTTGAAGTTGATGATGGCCCCGTGGGGCAGGATGAGCTGCCACCCTCCCCCTGACCCCAAAGCATCCCCAAATGTCCCCCAAACATCCCCAAAACATCCCCAAATGTCCCCAAACATCCCCAAATGTCCCCAAAACATCCCCAAAACATCCCCAAATGTCCCCAAACATCCCCAAATGTCCCCAAAACATCCCCAAGCATCCCCAAATGTCCCCAACGGTCCCCAGATGTCCCCAGCGCACCCGTTGAAGTCGATGATGGCGTGGTGGCACAAGGAGGGCTCACCACCCTCTGGGTGTCCCCCAGACCCCAAAACGCCCCCAGATGTCCCCAGCCATCCCCAATGTCCCCAGATGTCCCCAATGTCCCCAGCAGGCCCCGGCGCACCCACTGAAGTCAGTGATGGCGTAGGGGCACAAGGAGGGCTCACCACGCTGAGGGTGTCCCCCAGACCCCAAAACGCCCCCAGATGTTCCAAGATGTCCTCAAATGTCCCCAGACATCCCCAAATGTCCTCAGCCATCCCCAGATGTCCCCAAATGTCCCCAGATGTCCCTGATGTCCCTGATGTCCCTGATGTCCCCGGCACACCCGTTGAAGTCGATGATGGTGCAGTGGCACAAGGAGGGCTCACCACCCTGTGGGTGTCCCCCAGATGTCCCCAAACGCCCCCAGATGTCCCCAGCCATCCCCCAATGTCCCCAGATGTCCCCAGATGTCCCCGCAGTCGCCGGCGCACCCGTTGAAGTCGATGATGGCGTAGTGGGGCTCGCTGCCGGCGCCGGGGCCCAGGCTGGCCACGCAGGAGTCGACGAAGAGGCGCAGCGGGACGTGGCTGTGCGCGCCCACCTCGGCCTGGATGTTCAGCACGTCCCCGAGGCGGAACGCCGAGAGGTCCCGCTCCGAGCTCCAGTCCTCTGGAAAAGCCCACGGGAAAAGGGTTGGGAAAAGGGGAATCCCAAAAAATCCCACTCCGAGCTCCAGTCCTCTGGAAAACCCCACAGGATCAACCCCAAAGTGATCCCGAAAGGGGAAAAGGGATGGGAAAGGGGAATCCCAAAAAATCCCTCTCCCAGCTCCAGTCCTCTGGAGTCCCGCTCCGAGCTCCAGCCAAAGTGATCCCGAAAGGGGAAAAGGGATGGGAAAGGGGAATCCCAAAAAATCCCGCTCCGAGCTCCAGTCCTCTGGAAAAGCCCACGGGAAAAGGGTTGGGAAAAGGGGGATCCCAAAAAATCCCGCTCCCAGCTCCAGTCCTTGGGAAAACCCCACGGGATCAACCCCAATGTGATCCCAAAGGGGAAAAGGGATGGGAAAAGGGGAATCCCAAAAAATCCCGCTCCGAGCTCCAGTCCTCTGGAAAAGCCCACGGGAAAAGGGATGGGAAAGGGGAATCCCAAAAAATCCCACTCCGAGCGCCAGTCCTCTGGAAAACCCCACGGGAAAAAGATGGAAAATGGGGAATCCCAAAAAATCCCGCTCCCAGCTCCAGTCCTCTGGAAAACCCCACGGGTAAAGGGTTGGGAAAGGGGAATCCCAAAAAATCCCGCTCCCAGCTCCAGTCCTCTGGAAAACCCCACTGGAAAAGGGATGGGAAAAGGGGAATCCCAAAAAATCCCGCTCCCAGCTCCAGTCTTCTGGAAAACCCCACAGGATCAACCCCAAAGTGATCCCAAAAGGAGAAAAGGGGTGGGAAAGGGATCAAAAAGAGGGAAAAGGGGATGGAGAAATGGGGGGAAAAGGAGGAAAAGGTGAGGGAAAGGTGGGGATGGAAAAGGGGACGGAAAAGAGGGTGGAAAAGGGGGAAAAGGGATGGGAAAGGGACGGGAAAGGGGAGAGGGCGGGAAAGCCCCGAGCCCGCACCGTTCATGAGGCGCAGGGAGAACAGGAGCTTCTCCTGCGAGGCCAGCGCCGAGTTAAAGGGAGCCCAGGTGGGACGGATGGAGCCGCTGGAGACGTTATCCCGCCTGGAAAAGGGATCGGGAACGGGAATGGGATCGGGAACGGGATTGGGAAGGGGAACATAGGGAATGGGACACTGGAGACGTTATCCTGCCTGGAAAAGGGATCGGGATCGGGATCGGGAATGGGATCGGGAATGGGATCGGGAATGGGATCGGGAATGGGATCGGGAATGGGATCGGGAACGGGAATGGGAACGGGATCGGGAACGGGACACTGGGATGGGAATGGGACACTGGGAATGGGGACACTGGAGACGTTATCCCGCCTGGAAAAGGGAACAGGGAATGGGATCGGGAATGGGATCGGGAATGGGAATGGGAATGGGGGCATTGGGAATGGGACGCTGAAGACCTTATCCTGCCTGGAAAAGGGGACAGGGACTGGGATCGGGAATGGGAGTGGGGACACTGGAGATGTTTTCCTGCCTGGAAAAGGGAACAGGGTCAGGAATGGGATCGGGAATGGGACACTGGGAATGGGGACATTGGAAATGGCACAATGGACACGTTATCCTGTCTGGAAAAGGGAATGGGATCAGGAACAGGATCGGGAATGGGACGCTGGGAATGGGCACATTGGGATGGGAATGGGGACAGTGGGTACAAATGAGGACCCCAGAATGGGAATGGGAATACTGGGAATGCGGGAAGTGATCTGGGAATCCCAGGAATGTGGGATGGGATCCCGGGGACACTGGGAATGGAATTGGGATACCAAGATGGGAATGGGGACAGTGGGAATGGGACACTGGGATGGGAATGCGAATGCCAGGAATGCAGGAGGGGATTCAGGATGGGAATGGGAATCCTGGAAGTGCTGGGAAGGCAGAATGGGATCCGGGGACATGAATGGGATTCCTGGGAATGCTGGGAAGGTGCAATGGGATCCCAGGATAGGAACAGGAATCCTGGGAATGCCAGGAACAGGGATAGGGTCCAGGGACGTGAATGGGATTCCTGGGAATGCCAGGAAGGTAGGATGGAATTCGGGATGGGAATGGGATTCCTGGGAATGCCAGGAAGGCAGCATGGGGTCTGGGATGGGAATGGGATTCCTGGGAATGCTGGGAGGGTGGGATAGGATCCGGGATGGGAATGGGATTCCAGGAATGCTGGGAGGGTGGGATGGGATCCGGGATGGGAATGGGATTCAGAGACGTTATCCCGCCTGGAAAAGGGAACGGGAATGGGATCAGGAATGGGATCGGGAACGGGGACATTGGGATGGGAATGGGGACCCCAAAATGGGAATGGGAATGGGAATCCCAGGAATGTGGGATGGGATCCCGGGGACACTGGGAATGGAATTGGGATACCAAGATGGGAATGGGGACAGTGGGATGGGAATGCGAATGCCAGGAATGTGGGATGGGATCCAGGATGGGAATGGGAATCCTGGAAATGCCAGGAACAGGAGATGGGATTCCAGGGACACGAATGGGATTCCTGGGAATGCTGGGAAGGTGCAATGGGATCCCAGGATAGGAACAGGAATCCTGGGAATCCAGGGATAGGGTCCAGGGACATGAATGGGATTCCTGAGAATGCCAGGAAGGAAGGATGGAATTCGGGATGGGAATGGGATTCCTGGGAATGCTGGGAATGCCGTAATGGGAATCCCAGAATGGGAATGGGATTCCTGGGAATGCTGAGAATGCAGGATGGGATCTGGGACGGGAATGGGATTCCCAGGATGCCGGGAAGGGAGGATGGGATCCGGGATGGGAATGGGATTCCTGGGAATGCCAGAAATGTAGAATGGGATCCGGGATGGGAATGGGATTCCCGGGAATGCCGGGAAGGCAGGATGGGATCCAGGATGGAAATGGGATTCCTGGGAATGCCGGGAAGGCCGGATGGGATCCAGGATGGGAATGGGATTCCTGGGAATGCCGGGAAGGCAGGATGGGATCCGGGATGGAAATGGGATTCCCAGGATGCCGGGAAGGCAGGATGGGATCCAGGA